TGTGGGAACATCCCACATTATCACGCATTTCTGCAACGCTCGCTCTTCACATCGCTTTTCACCATCACGCGCGCTAACCAACCAGATTGCTTCAAACATTCATATTTATACTGGGATCGCTCCTGGCCTGCATCTACGTCATAACGCGCGCTAGCCAATCAATTCTTCCACCTCACTTTCGAGTTTGGCTCCGCCCCACCGACCAGCGTATAAAAAGGGAGCGACTCGAGAGCCGAGTTATGCAGTTCACTTCAGTACATCACCAGTCTACAAGCTAGCCACATCAAGCAACTTCAGCCAGCAGGCTTCGTCGCCAGCGCTCGGTCTTCGGAAACATCGGCAGGCTTCGCCAGGCACGACTGCCTCGGCTCGCCAGCGCTCTCACACCCGACTGACTGGGGCACAGCGCCTGGACTCGCCGGCGGTCGCGTCACGGTCTGACTCACTAGGCCTCTGGCGTAGCCACTGCCTCATGGCTCCCACGACCGCGCTCAACGGCTTGCCTTTCCACTAGCCTTTCACCCGCCATTCACCGTAACTAGCCTTTCTCCTCACCGGCGCGCGCCGCGATACCTAACCGGTCAAGCAGCAACAGCAACAGTAACCACGGTCCTTTTTAGGGCCAACAAATTGTTCCGAAGAAGTGGGTTGTCATAGGAGTAATGACAAGACTACACGTTAAGAGAATCCCACAACAGATATACTTCCCAGTCAGAATTAGGACTCTGTTCACTTTATAAAATAAACAGACATACTTCTAAGTCAGAACCAGGACACTGTTCACTTTATAAAATAAAGAGATATACTTCTCAGTCAGAACCAGGAGAGCTTAATTTATTCTGTACAGGAGTTTACAAACTGCTACTTGAGTTTGAATTCTGTAGTGCTGAGAGCACATTCAAAATTTAGAAAAATGAGGCAGATCTTTAGAATAATTCTGTTCCTATGAACACTTCAGTAAACCTTCATTATTCATGTCACTTCAGAAATGGTTCAGTCATGAACTTTTGTCCTTTGTGCCTATTAAATATCCAGCTTTGATATCAAGACAGCATGTACTGTACAGAGCAGAAATTTCCACCATGCAACATACAAAATTTTAATGCCATTAAGGTATGCACAAGAGTTGTATTAAGTAATACAATCAATGGCATCCCAGTACACCCAGCTACCACATAAAGCCATCTCATATTACCTAATGCAAATGGGGATCAAGTTCAGACAAGCTCTCTGCTAATCCCTTCCATTAACCTTGGGTAATAACATTAACAAATTACGTGTCTTTCAACAGAATTAGTTTATCAAACAGGCATTATTTCTGACATGTAGTGTTACTTTTCAGTAAAATCCGAGAGTACAGAATATCCAAACAGTTCAGAAATAAACAGACTAGAGAAAAACAGCAAAGTGATCAGTACAGTCACCAGCAATAATAACTGTTCTGTTGTTGGTAAGAAAAATTTAAAAAGAATGTCACAAAGTGTTGAATATATCTAGGATTTAATCATCAATAATTCCACAAATCTGTTATGTAACTGCTTGGTGTAAACTGAACACCAAAACAAAACTGACTCAGCTTGCTGCTAAAATGTTAAATTTCACTGCTAATTATATATCTCAATTATTAAGCTTCCTCATTCTCTTGTTTACCTTATGCCTCACCAAACTTTACACTCAGACGATTGTACAGTTTAATGACCAGTAAGAATATGCACGCAAATGGCAACACTAATGTTAAGAATTTGTAAAGGGATCTAAATACTACCTCCAATTAGAATCCTCTGGACTTGTATGGCCTCTGCTCACATGGTAAAGAGGTTTTGTAGACTTCTTTTCTTTCATGACCAACCATATATCCAAAGAGAGCTGCTCCACTCCTATTCCAGTGGCCCTATACATTGTTACTATTACTATAAAATTAACTTTTTGTAATATCTAGTGTTCATCAACTTACCGGTACCCCTTCCAACTCAACCAATGGAAACTCTATCATGAGATACAGATAGTCTGAGTTTCGTTTCTCTCTTTCGTTGATTAACTCAATCTCACGGAATGTCAAACGGTCCAACCAATCCACTTTGGCTATGTGACCATTACGATGCTTTTTTGTTAACTGGAAAGGAAGGCACAGTTAAAAACAATGTAATGTGGTATAGTAAAACAACTTGTATATCATAACATCACAAATACATAACAGTGCAAAAGTATATATACATTATGATGATCAGCAAAGGCTTGAGTTAACAAAGTTTTAGGCCGTGCAATAGCTCAAGTGGTTAGTCANCGCTGGCTTCCCATCGCGGCGGCCCTGGTTCGATCCCGGGTCTGGTCATGCGGGATTTGTGGTGGACAAAGTGGCGCTGGGGCAGGTTTTCTCCAAGTACTTCGGTTTCCCTTGCCAATCTTCATTTCACCAATTGCTCCACAATCACCCTCACCTATCATCTGGGGCTGGTACAATAAGCCAGAAGTGGTCGCAGTACAAGGGACTTAGTCCCACACCACTAGCAATTAAAAAAAATTAACAAAGTTTTTAAACATGTCCTCTTAGGAGCTGTAGAAGGTGCTACAACATAACATAAATATAGATCTCATTACCATCTATAATAGACACCTAAAATATTTAGTAATAGTGTTAATATTCAACAGATTACAAGGAAGAATATTTTGTGCCTTCGTGCACTGCAGAAACAATACTGCTGATCAGCTCCTTCAACAATAGCTTTATATCTGCAATAAATGCACAAACGAATGAACAAACAAACAAACAAACAAACTCTGTGGTTTGAGTCCGCAAGCAAACTATATCCACCGAGCGACCGCCGCCTGTCGGCGAAATTAGTGCCAACTTTAGCAGATAGAGGGTGTCGTGTGGTCAGCACAATGGATCCCCATGGCCATTAATGCACAAGACTAATGAGGGGTCTAAAATTACAGATAATATATCAAAAAATATGTACTCCAAACTGGAGTAGATGTTTTTAACTTTCACTTAGTTGTAATATATAAACATATACAGAGGTAAAGACCCAAGTTTGCTTAACCTCGGCACTAGTTGGAGGCGAGCGGCCAGCTTCACACCCCAGCCACTTTAGCTCTGGGGAAAGAGTCCCAGGTACCCAATGGATAATATACTTAAAATTTCAAGCAATCAAACAATTCTGACTTGATTAAGTTTGGATCCCATAGCCATCTACAACACAAAGGTAACATACTACTCATAAACTAATTTAATTTTCTTGTTCCACTGTACACGTACAGTAACCCAAGCTAAAAAAAACCCAAGATTTGCACCCATGGAAGTTCGTGCAATACAACAGTGGGATTCCTCAGCTCTACTTATCCTACTTCACTTCATGCTCTGTGCAGAAGTGATTCAAGAAATCTCACATATGCCACTTGAAGACATTATTCTGTAGCCCTGGTCAAGATTCCCTCCTCATTTTCATTTCCAAATGAGAGGAATTTTGAGACTTGAGATTACAGTTTCAGAATGTGATGCCACATAATTTGGTAGACAGTTTCTCGGGACAAGACTGAGCTTCTTCTAGATTGAGAGAGCACATTCCACCAAAATGATAGTATCAACCTACCAGATACATGGCACCAAATCCCACAAGACCATTATCTTGGACAGAATTTATGTTTGTTGTGGGTCATTCATTGATCTGATTAAGATCTGTGTACCTACATTATGATTTCTTTATACTGTCACATGTTAGAGATTAAACACAGGATTTGGAATGATAAATTAATTTATTGGATGCTTGTCACTCTAACTACAGAGTTAGAGCATTCTTATTATTATTCTTAATCCTATATTAATTACAGAACTTTTCAAGTCTTTCCTAGTCTGCTATGCTTTCAAGTACTCATTGCTCAGTCATGGCTCTCAAAAGCAGGAATTCTAATACTTCAGTGCCCAACAGTTCCTGTCCTCAACTGCTTCCCTTCCAAGCAGAGCACTAAATTGTTGCTGGCCTTCACCAGCACAGTCATTCTTCATTTTGGACCCCATTAGGACACACAAAAAAAAAATTGCTTGTTTCTAGACCACATATGTATTTTCAAACGGGGCCTCCTCTTCAATGGGAGGAGGGGTTGGCCTTTTAATTTCCAGGCAACTGCTGCAGGCTTCGTCAGCACAGTCATTCTTGATTTTGCATCCCACAGGGACCCATTCCCAAACTTTTGCTCATTTCAAGACCACTTGTGTGTTTTCAAATGGAGTCTCCTCTTCAATGAGAGAATGGGTGGGTCTTCCAGTTCCTGGTAAATGCCTGCAGGTCTTTGCTAGCAGAGTCATTCTTGGTTCCATGCCATGTGAAATTCATGACCACGTTTTTCTGCCTCACAACTCTTGGAGTCATGCAACTACTTCTATCTGTTTTACATTTACATTTACATTTATTTTCACTTCATGGATCCAATCATCTCCCCATAGGGCTCGATATAAAACATGTCACATATTACAAACTCATGATGACTACACATCATTCGTCCTTTGTCCAATAAAATATATAATCAGGCCTCTCACGGATAGCTCAAGTTGTCAGGACAACACACATGCGTCGTGGAAAAACCACAGTCAAATTCACACCTCACCATTCCACACACACTGGCAAGCTGTATCATTAAAACAGTTAAAATTATTAAATATTAAAATTCATAACAAAAACAGACATCATACATACTACTACACTTACAACCAGCAAGCATTCATACTTCTCTTCCGAGGTTTAAGCATTGTATACAATTCTTATTCGTATTCAACTTGCCCGTTGAGACATTGTTTTCAAGTGACGGGTCATACACTGCTACACCACTCTCCTCCATATTGCTTGCTGTTAGTCTGGTAACTTGCTGCTGGCCTCATCAGCACTGTCAAACTCTATTTCAGGTCCCGTTGGAACCCATGATCATATGTTTGGTCTTTCAAAGCCTTTTCCTGTTTTGATGAGGGGCTTCTTCTTCGAAGAGAGGAGTGGTGTGACTACTGCTGGTCACTCCCCCTCTACTGGGAAGTGACTCATTCAGCAATTCAATAACTGGCTCCCCCAACACACACACAGTTTGTCGTATGTAGAGGAAAAAAGTATAATATACACCTGATGTACAAAAGCATCTTGTATCTCAAATATAATGGACCCAAATATTAATCCATAAGACGGAAACTATAATTAAGTCACAAACTTGAGTCAGATATTGAATCACCTCAGAATAAAAACTGTGCCAGAAAATTACTGGAACAGCTTCACCAGAAGAAGAGAAATGTTTAAAAAAAAAACCTCAGCATGGAAACCATACCTTAGCAAGCCTCTGCATCTGTTCCTTGCCATGATCCCTAGCTTTTCCAGGAGTGGAACTTGGAAAATTACCATCAGCTTCTTGACTGGGCCACACTCGCAGATCCAACATTCCCTGGGACATATTTATAGTTCTGTCAGTAAAACAAAAATACAAAATCTGTTTTTGACATTCTTGGCATTATTTGTTTTAATTCTGAACAATCTTTGAAAAAACCATTCCAAATCTGCATTCCATATACACATTTATTGCTTTATACACAAACATTAATTCTACACAGTATTTTTCCTTCCTCACTTACCACTCTATTCTTCTATACTATTCCAGTAGTTTCTGTGTACGTTTATGATACTTCACACATACATGGTAATAATATATAATATGTAATAACCATATATGTAATAACTGTATATACTTATTTATTCATAGTACTTTCAAACTGGTGGACAGGGTAGCATAGCTGGCTGAGGCACTATGTTACATGCTGGAAGGTCACAGGTTTGATTCCCGATGAGGTCACTGGAATTAATTATCCTAATCCTTCCAACCTCACAACTATCTCTGAGCTGACTGTCTAGAAAATGTGGGAGCCTGAATGTCTCACAACTCTATGGGCCTCCATGGCCTGTTACAGGGATAGCGTTACCTTTTTTTTTACTTTCAATGTGATAGTAAAGGTAAAACATAAAGTTTTCCCCATACATAATTAATTAAGCACTACACAGTGAACATGTAATGATGAATCTAGCTGGAAGTGTGTGATCAAACATCAAGCCCCCCCCCCTTCACCCCCATGGAAACAGCCTCCAGCACTCACTGTCTAGGAGAGAGGGTAAGCCCTAGAGCCAGTCTGGACACAATGAACAAGAGAAAAGTCTCTTTCCTCCGCCAAGAATCAAACCCTGATTCCAGTCTGTAGACCAGTTGCTACAAAATTAATCCAGAGACTCTTTAACTCTTTCACTGATTTAAATTACATTTATGTTTCAACTATTCAACAAAAATTCCCATTGAAACTCTATCTTCCTTTCTTCTCAAACCAGAAATCCCATTTTTAGCACATTCACAACGAAAAAAGTTGAAAAACTGTGCCTACTCACTTCCCAATTGTTTGTCTTGTCCCACATTTCTGGTAATTTGTTACTTTGAATTTGTACTAAAATTTACTGTCCCTTTCCAGTTTTGATTATAATCACGCAATAGGGGATGCTTTAAATGAAGACATATGTGGGTTTCTGCATGAATCTTGAGCAAAACATATAACTCCCTAAATATTTATCAGAGCAAAAATTTTTCAAAATGAAGTTGAAGAGAAAAATATAGCACACATTTTATGCACAGTACACTTTTCTCCACAAGTCTTATAGGTTTCAACGTAACTACACAAACGGGGTTTTTAAGCTGTGTAATGATGTAAGTAGTTTGCCACTGCTCATCCACCCTGCTTGTTTTATGCTATTTATAAGACAGCATCAACGTTAGCATTTCGTATTTGAAAATCTAGAGGCAATAACAGAATGAATTTGCTAGAACTGTAATGCTACATGTACATTTCCTAACCTGCTAACTTTGTATCTTCTTCTTTATTTCATCATACAAGTATCTGCTGCCTCAGTTCTACTTTTCTCAATTCCTCTGTGAAAATCTACATTTCAGCTATATACGCTATTATTTCAGTATAATATTCTTCAAACTAAATTCTGTTTCATATCTCAGATATATTTTCTGCATCAGAGAAATTTATGGGCATTGTCTCATGAACTAAATTTAAGATGTTCTCATTTCTTCTCTGTACTTCCCCAAATATCAAAGAGAGTACATTTCTTTTAATAATTCTTGGCCTCATTTTCATGTTTCTATTTTTATGCACATCAAAGCCATAGCATCTTCCATTCTATGTATCCGTCCTTACTCTGTGTTGCATTTCAATGTCCAGTTTACTTGTTTGTGTAAAGGTGCTGATTATTTCATGATATAAAGCAATATCATACCTGTCTAAACACACCATGCTTGCCAAATAGGGAAATGGTGGTTCCTCCAACAGGCTGGATTTTAGAAGGACCCACTGTATCATAAACAGTCAGTGCTAACTGAGCATTGCGAGGAAGGTCACTGAACATCACAGGCAATGTCACCCACTCATTCCAGCTGCAGAGTGAAGCCAAAATACCACTTCAGTAAACATTGTAAATGTAACTACATCATCTGAGATAAGATGCTACCTCCATCTTCAGAGACAATAGCTGCCACTGTGACAATATTAAATTTAACTTGATAAACATGCTTCAAAGACCTCCAAACATGCATATGCTCACACATGCACTTGCATGTACCCGCCCTCTCCCCCCTCACACATGCATGGGCACCCATGTGCATGCACACACATCTCGTTTGTTAATTACTATGAGGGGAACACAGAAAATGACACAGAGGACTTCATAATTTGTACTTTTCATCATACATTATTAAGGAAATTAAAATAAGAGAAATAAGACAGACAATATAAGTAGCACACATGCAAGAAACAAGACATTTATACAAACATACCTGAGCTTCAAAACCTCATGGAGAGGAATCACTTGGGGGAGAGTGTTACAGCTGGTAAGGAAATATTAAAGTGGGTCTTAAAAAAATGATTATGAAGGTGTTGTGAAATGTGCTGTTCAGGATATGGAATACCAGTTTCTTGTCATGACAATGATAAACCATCACAATTCAAATAATTTCATTAGCAACTGTGTAACTATCAAATGCATGTTGAAGAGCATGGAACTTGTATAGATGTAAAATGAAGGTGAAACAGCATAGTCTATTACATGGTAATATCCCAGTATTAACACTCAGAGAATGGGAAAATCCATACCATGATACTGCTTCAAACACATACCCACCAACATGTTTCTTCTGAGCCCAAAAGGTGAAAGTGAAAACAGCATTACAAAAAACCAACATCATCACCAACCCCTTAACAACTTGTTTAACAAGTAATAACATTACACATTTATGAACATAAAAAGTAAATCATAAAGCATGCCACTGTAAAACAGTAATATGCAGAATATGGTTTGGGTATGTAAAATGTATATGCATGTATGTCACTCTAAGCTACATGAACTTAACAAAATAAGCCAACTCAAAAGCACACATAACCAGGAAAGAGCAGTGTGTGATTAAGAAAGACTTCCATGGAATATGGATTGCTTGGGGGTGGACTACATTCTTCATTTTAAAAACAAAAAACATGCAAAAGTCTGAGTTTTAGTTTTATAAAACCTGAATGTAACAAAGTCATAATGCACTTTTAGATGCAAATGACCAGCTCACCTCTCCTAACAGATATGCCAAGAACAGCATCAACATTCTACCATAGTACAAATATAAAAAAGTTACATCCAACAAGCATGGTTAAAAATTCCAACATCCTCTAACTCTGCAACATGGGTGTTACATTAACAAATGCAAAACAATGTTATACTTACTTCCATCTTGTGGTAAAAGCCTTATAAGAAGTGGAAACTGGAAGAGCCAATGGCCGGCCATCAGAAAATACTTGGCAAACCACCACCAAATCTGCAAAGCCATCCTGGTACNCCCATATTATAAGGTAAGGTTATAAAACCACCATTTAAGATCATTTTAGTGAAAGTTTCATGTTCCTATCTCATAGAATTTAAGAACAATGATGAATAAATAATTTTCGAGCAAAATTTAAATGGCCGGCTGAATATATTACCGCAGGAGCCGCGGCCGCGGAATTTAAATGACCACGTCAAAGGGTTAACCCTCAGAGGATGGCGAAATCCATACCAAGATATTGCTTCAAACACATACCCACCAACATGTTTCTTCTGAGCCCAGAAGGTGAAAGTGAAAACAGCATTACAAAAAACCAACATCATCCAACCCCTTAACAACTTGTTTAACAAGTAATAACATTACACATTTATGAACATAAAAAGTAAATCATAAGTAAATCATAAAGCATGCCACTGTAAAATAGTAATATGCAGAATATGGTTTGGGTATGTAAAATGTATATGCATGTATGTCACTCTAAGCTACATGAACTTAACAAAATAAGCCAATTCAAAAGCACACATAACCAGGAAAGAGCAGTGTGTGATTAAGAAAGGCTTCCATGGAATATGGATTGCTCGGGGGTGCACTACATTCTGCATTTTAAAAACAAGAAATATGCAAAAGTTTGAGTTTTAGTTTTATAAAACCTGAATGTAACAAAAAGTCATAATGCACTTTTAGATGCAAATGACCAGCTCACCTCTCCTAATAGACATGCCAAGAACAGCATCAACATTCTACCATAGTACAAATATAAAAAAGTTACATCCAACAAGCATGGTTAAAAATTCCAACATCCTCTAACTCTGCAACATGGGTGTTACATTAACAAATGCAAAACAATGTTATACTTACTTCCATCTTGTGGTAAAAGCCTTATAAGAAGTGGAAACTGGAAGAGCCAATGGCCGGCCATCAGAAAATACTTGGCAAACCACCACCAAATCTGCAAAGCCATCCTGGTACAGTCCAGAAAATTTAAGCATTGGATTTGAAAGAAGCTTGTCATATTCTGGTTTCTGCCTCTTGCCTTCTAGTGTTCCTCTGTGGAAGCAGAATGAGTGCAAAAACTTCACAAATGTACAGTACTTGTTTGACAAATGAGAACATACATGTAAATATATAAAAGTGAACTCTTTAAATGTCATTAGTACAAGTATACCGTATGTCCAAAAAGTATCCGACTTTATTTTTTTCCACTGTAGGTAATGGACAAAGGGGTGGGGAAACTGAGCGTAGTGGTGAAAGGGACTTTCTTACGCATGCGTGATTTTTTGCTAACGCACAACACTGCCGGATGCGTCTGTGGCTGCCAGATGTCAAAGTGGTGTAACACGTGTTCGTTGCATTCTAGTTTCGCTCAAGATGACAATACGCTTGGAGCAGCGATACTGCATTAAATTTTGTCAGAAACTTGGGGATATTATATTTGAGCATCCTGTTACACTCACACAATATATATGAGACAAACACCGTCTTCAGTGTAACAATTTAATTGTAGTTCTTTTTTCTTTCCCTCCTCCACACTACATGTTTCGGCCCTAATTGGCCATCATCAGGTGTGTATTCTTACGTAGCTGTTACACTGCCTGTTAAAATTTATAATCACCAGTCTTTCTAATTGTATAAAATCTTTGTTAACTTACACGCGTTAATTTGATTTCTAAATTCAGCACTCTTTTAAAACTTTAATTCAAGTTAAAATGTCTATAAGATTTTTGTTCTTTTTCTTTTTCAAATTTTGAAATTAAAATTTTCTCAGGGTACATGCCTTATGTCTATAGTGCTGCAGCGGCCACTTCTTGTTTAACGCTGTTCAGGTATTGTCTGTAATATACAAATATTCGTATTACTATCTTATGTTATGTTATGTTATTCTTATATGTTTATACTGTTACTTGTACTTACTCTGTGTAGGCTCTCTCTGTGTGTGTCGCTGCTTATCTTTAATACGTGTGCTGTCTGGTGTATTGTGTACTGTGTTTTATGTTAGTGAG